GTTTTCTTGGCTGTGATGTAATGTGGTTAGTTGGCATACAGTTTGGATTTCAAAGTTATTTAAAATGGACTTTGTTCTTTTCCTGTGTACCTTGATTTTGTCCATTGGCCACTTGTGCCTGCCTTGCCTAAGTGCAGTAGTGTATGTGGCAGGTGTTTTGCAGCTGTTTATCAGGTGTTTGGCAGCTAAAATCGATCTATAAATAACTCAAAGGTGCTTTGACTTGCAGATTTCCTCTTAATTAAATTTAGAAACCACCTTTACTGAAATTATAAGCTGTAGGTTCATACAGCTTTCTGTTGCTCTGGATTTTGTTCACAAAAGGCAGCAAGGAATGTAGTGAGTGTGTGATTGTGATGTGAGACAGTTACTCCACCTTGTGGTTACTGTGCTTTGAGCCAAAAGTTTGCTGATACTTAAACCAAATTGGCACGTGCAGTGCTGCTGTTCTTTCTTTAAAAAGACCATTAACAACTCCAAATCTGTCAGCGTCAACTTGTTTTGAAAATGTTTGTGAGATGTGTAATTTTGTAGTGTAGTGTTGAGAGTGTCATCATGATGTCTGTTTTCTCTCAGAATCACGGTCACAGTCATTACCCTGATGCAGATCATGTGGAAGAGGGCGAAAAGGAGAAGCTGCAGCAGAACGGGGAAGCCAGCAGTCTGGCTTTGGGCAAGGTGGACGCAGGGGAGGGCGAGCTCATGCTCAGTCCTGCACAGACACCACAGGTGAGGGTGGGGGCAGAGGATGGAGGACAATAAGAACTTGATTTGTTTAGTTGTCATTGTTGTTATTGTCTGTTTTTCTTAATGCATTTTTATTTTCTGAGTAATTTGCTTTTCATCACTGACACAAACTGATGAGTTAAGTGGAGAAAATCTCTCTTTGGTTGAACTGCTGACATTACATTTTCAACCTGTGGTGAGGGCTCAGCACAAACGTATGGAGCCCTGATTTAAATGCACCTGGTAACTCATCCAAATTCAAAATATAAAATACTTAAGATTTGTATTTTATCCTAGCTATCATGTGAATTGATAAACACATCCTTATTCATGAAGTCATATTTGCATATTGCTGCTTTTTCCACATGTATTTACATCAAATGGGTCTCCCTCACTCTGTTCACCCCAGGACTCCCAGAACCCAGACAGCGGGGGGCGGTCCGGCAGCGGTGGTGGCTGCTACTGGCTGAAGGGTACGTCCTACTCTGACATCGGCACACTGGCCTGGATGATCACATTAAGTGATGGCCTGCACAACTTTATCGACGGCCTGGCCATCGGCGCCTCCTTCACTGCCTCCATCTTCCAGGGCATCAGCACCTCAGTGGCCATCCTGTGTGAGGAGTTTCCCCACGAGCTGGGTGAGTTGGGTCGCTGGGTTGAAACATACGTGCTTGGCAGATTGAATCTGCAGTATTGTGCATATTGCGCAGACAACTCTTCGATATATTTATTCTCTTTCTGTCATTCTGCTTCTCTTTCAGGAGACTTTGTGATCCTGCTGAACGCTGGAATGAGTATACAGCAGGCTCTGTTCTTTAACTTCCTGTCGGCTTGTTGCTGTTACCTGGGCATGGGCTTTGGCATCCTGGCCGGCAACAGCTTCTCCCCCAACTGGATCTTTGCCCTGGCTGGGGGAATGTTCCTGTACATCGCTCTGGCAGACATGGTCAGTGTTTGAGGAAAGGGATGTTGTCGTGTTTGTTTTTTTAAGGTTCTCTTAAGACAGCAGACTTCATGTTAAACTTGTTACAAGATGATCTCATCTTTAATTCCACACACTTGAACACATTTGTAGTTGGGGAAAGTAAAGAAGAGATTTTTGTCTTGACCAGGTACTCATGGTGATGTCACATCATGTACATTTGAGGAAATGATCCTGACTTTTATGCATAGTGTGGGTCAAGCCTCACAAACACTGGACTAAAGCAACCGCGATGACGTCTTTGTTATACCCTCCCTGTAGGGCAAATTCCCAATCGCCATCACCCACGCATTGTTAATCAGACATGCAACTGATTTCTCAGACTGTGTAGGACTCCACATGACTAGTAATTTGACTTTGACATGTAAAATCAGAGTGAGAATCAGAGTATTGGAGAGTAAGGAGCATGCCTACTGATTCGACTTTCCTTTGGTTATTGGTATGGCAGAAGTGTTTCCTCTTACATTTAATCTTTTATGCATGCTTTATTATTACTATGGAGACAATTACAAGACAGTATTTCATTTATTCACATAGTATTATTCACATAGTGTTGTACAGCTTGATATTTTGAGTTTGTCTGTAGTTGTTTGCTCCACAATCTCTCTAAGATAGCTGTGACTAGACAGTAGCATGTCCTAAACCAGTCTCGCCCTTTTTAACCTCAGAGCTCACAGTGTCCAATAACACAGACAGTTTACGTTCCATTTCTGACCCTGAGTGGCTGTTAAGTCTCTGTTAGTTCAACCTCATTCTTTAAGATTTTAGTGTAAACCCTTGTTAATCATCCATCTGTGCCATATGCAATATCATCTTCATTCAGCCTCCCCCTTCTGTGCCTTAGAGGTCACCCTCTCTCCCCATTCCCAGTGCTCTGATTACCGAAATGAGCGTTTTGTCATATTTCATCACATACCACATAATACCATATATACAATATGACACTCATGGGCAGTTTTAAACAGACAATCTAGCAATATTGTCACCTGCTAGGTTTAAACTAATCAACATTTACCCTGATAATTTCCTAAACCCTTTGTGCTCTGTATTCATTACAAATATAGGATATTAAGGTCTTAGTAAGTAATACTAAACTTGAGCATCCTATGGTGTCAGTAAGGTATAAAAAAAAACACTATATATAAAAGACATAAATAAATTAACCGTTACCCTGATAATTTCCTAAAACCTTTGTGCTCAGCTGTTCTTTGAATTGTTTGATATTGCCTGCGGGGAAATTTGGCACCCCAGATGGGACGGAAGCAGTATTCGGACAGAAGCCGGCTTATCTCTGGGAAATCCTCCCTACAGGGAGAAGCTATGTTCAGCAGAGCCCTGATCTTCGCTCCGTTCCCCGTGCGTTCGATGTAAAATTTTAACCAGGCCTTTGCCGAATGATGACGATTGTGACGATGACGATTTTGTAGACAAAGGATCCTACTTACTAACAAAGGTGAAAAGAGAGGGAATACTGTTCAGCAAAGAGGGTGATGTATACGAGACCATATTACACAGTTATATAGACGTTTAAAAAGTCCTTTCCCTCTCTGGTTTGTGCTTCTCAGTTTCCAGAGATGAATGAGGTGAGTCGTGAGGAAGAGGACGCGGGCGGCAGCAGCTTCCTCCTCACCTTTGCCATCCAGAACGCTGGACTGCTGACGGGCTTCTCCATCATGCTCCTCCTCACCACCTACTCTGGTCAGATACAGCTGGGCTAGCACCGGACTCCTCTGGACCAACACCGGCCCTGACCAATGTTGAAAGTGCTGGTTTAAACTGATCCCCAAAAGGAGAACTTTTTTCTCTTTATCTTCCCAAAGTTAGTTTAGTTTTCAGGACCCTGGAGTTTTTGAAGTTTGACTGCTGTGCGGCAGGTACGCACACTCCTCTATTAAAAATATTTGAGTAGCTGTTTGTGTGCAGTTCCCAGATGCAGTAGAACCCAGGCGGAGGGGGTGGCAGCCTTCTTTTAATGTTTTATCTACGTTTTCCTGACAGCTGCTCCCTTCTAGAAATATCAACTGAAGCAGTCTACAGAGACTAGAGACGTGACTCCCTCGCTGAAGATGAACTGACGTGTAATCCCGACCCAGTCCCTCAAACGTTTCTCTATTTCCCAGACTACTGATCAGCCATTTGCCCTTATTTTTCCTCCTCCCACCCCTCAGTGGATGTCATTGAGCCTCATCTGAGATTCAGTAGATACAGAGCATTATATCTCTAATCCTCTATGCCCGCAACACTTCCTCAGGAGGTGGGAAAAGCACAATCAGGTAACAGCAGATGTATTTTTGACATCCTTGAGTCTTTATCCTTCTGTTTCAGACTGTTTCCCCTTTCCTTTTTTTCCATTCCATACCAAAAACAACTCATTACGGAACTGACCTGGAAGTTTGTTCGTGTTAACATAAAACTGACTTCAAGCTGTACTGTATTGTTTGTGTTGATATTGTATTTTTTATACAGGATAAAAAAATTATTAGACTTTTGAAGACCAAATATGGGCTGACCATAGAGAATGGTGAAGGGCTACGCAGTGGTGTTTGGAAGGGCACAGATTCTTCTCCTCAGTATGGACTTGTCTACATCGTCGGCAATGCAGTTAGAAATGAAGCTCGTGGTCAGATATGTGAAGCAACATCAAGTCCAGAGTTTGTTATTAGTGTCTTTATCTGATCAAACGCAACAACAGCATTTCTCCATACCAGTTTACCATCTGTGCCCTTCATTAAAGGTGGGATAAGCGATGAGTTTAATCCAACTCAAAATTCAAATTCAGAGAATATCTCCTCACGGTCCGCTAGCTGTCCGTTCTGTGTGCGCGCAGCCCTGGCTCTGTAAATGGAAAACAAAGTGGATCGGACCAAGTCACACAACACTATTCCAGCAGTTCTAGACATTATTTGTATTTTAGGTAACGTTAAATTACTTGCCCACGGACATTTAGCTTACTTTCTAGTTTTCCAACATATGCTGTTGTTGGGATGTTAACATTAACATTTATTCATTTAGCTGAAGGTCTAATCACTGTCTGGAGCTGGTGCGCTGGCTCTGAGACCGTCTCGTCCTCTCTTCATGTTAGCTTCGCAACAGCAAATGTAGCTAAAATTTGCTAACCCTTAACTTCAGCAAACGTTAGTTAAATTACTTGCTTTGTCATTGTTCGCTCTATATCATTGTATTTGTCATGGTGCTGGATTTCTCCAGAATTGCATACCCCACCTTTAATATAGCATTGAATAGCTATAGTTTTTTATTCCTTGTACTCTTGAGCTCAAAGTGCACATCCCATAGATTATTTTTCCCAAATTGTCTATTCTTTTACTGTGCAGTAATTAGTTTGAACAGAACACTGTAAGCTAAATCATAAACTATAGACACGCACATTTCGCCTAATGGTCTGTGACCTTATCCATATTAGTCATAATAATGATATCATATACTGGATCTAGTTGTTGGTCGTTATGACAAACCCTCTGATTCTCTCTGAGTTACATTTTTTGACCAGAAGTATGTGGACACACTTGTCTCCATGCTGATACGCATTTTTGGTCTGTGATTGTTTTTCATGGTTTGCCAAACCCCCAGTTTGTTTTGCTCCAAATATTGCTATTATGTTGGCGTCACAGAGCTAAGCAAACGTTTATACCTAGACATCTTTGAAAGAGCCAGAAAATAATTTAATAACAGTGGCAGTACCTCTGTTCTGAAGCTATTTCCTGAATCCTCAAAGACTCTTCTAACCATCTGGATGAAAAAATTGTTTGTCTGCCTCTTAGTCCCAATGAAGAGAAATCTTAAGAGCTATAATAATTAGTTGTTTAATCCATTAGTTGGTCAGTGAACAACTAATAGTTGCTGTCTTGGTAATTGATGTAATGTTTATGTTCTATAACTGGTTCCCGTCTCTCAGATGTCAATAGTTGCTGTTATTTTCTGCTGGTTGTCTGTTATGATAGTTAATTGAATATTTTTGGCTTTGTATTTAAATTGACAGATGAATTGATAGATAAATAAGTTGCCGCAATGAGCTGCTAACTCTGTGGCAGTATTTTGGGAATGTCCTTTCCTGTTTCAACATTAGGATTCCCCTGTGCACAAAGCCAGGACCCCTAAATAAATGGTTCCCAGTTTGGTGTGGATGAACTCATGGCCATGTAAGTGTTTGACCTCACTAATCCCTGCAGCCAGGTTCCAACATTTGGTGGAAAGCCAGAAACTAAAAGAGTGGGGGCTGTCATAGCGGCAAATTAATTCCCGTCATTTGGGAATAAGATGCTCAACACCTACATATGAGTGCAATATTTGGGTATCCACATACTTTTGGCCATGTGGGAACAATGCAAAACGGTTTATTATCTGTAATGGTGATTGTTTATTGGAGCGTTTAGGGGACCAGTTATTTGTGTTGTTGTAATGTGACTGGTTTTCACTTTAGCAAACATTGTTCACATTGCTCACCATAGCAACGTCCTTTGTGCTACTTGTACTAAAAATTAGTGCAAGTTTGGAGGGTGTCTGTTGATCCATATTTACTGATATCTTACACTGGATTTCAAAGTCCACTGTAAGTTACATGTAAACACAAAAGAAGCGTAATCAAGTACCAAAAGCTACATACTTTTCTGTAGATTCAATATTGGCATAGGATAGATAGGTAGGCCTACTACAGAAAGTTTTGTTGTTCCTGGGTGAAGAAGGCAAGCCATTAAAACGGGTACTAGGAAGTACAGTATTACTGCTGCTTGATATGTATGGTAGATTATTTATTGTTGTTTGAGCCATAAAATATTTATTTTATGTTTTATAACCAACATAAAGTATTCATTTTAGTTTTCCAAGCCATGAAGGCAGACAAAAATTATGTCTTTTGTTTTTTGTGCTTCATCTTTGTTGTAGCATTTATTTTGAATAAATGTGGGACGGCTGCCAGAATTAATAATGAACTTGTATTTGCAGAGATACAGAATTTCTGGTCAGGTATGATAATCTAAACATCACAGTTTAGGTCAGAGACAGAGAAGTACATCAGATAATCAATTCAGGAGTACACAGACAATAAGACACTTTATTGGTGCAAAAAAACTCTCTAATTTCAACAGAAGTTTCTCTTTTTCAGCATCAGCAAACCAACCAATGATTGACTTTCTGGAGATTTTAATGATTAATGGATGCGCTTTCAAACTTGTAATGCATAATTTTGAAAAATATTGTACCTAATGTAATTTATGGGAATCCTTGTCGGCCTTCTCTCTGTGTCATGGAAATCTTTTCTTTTTTATAAACATCCTTTTCCAAGAAAATCATGTGTGATCTTGTCTTTGTTTACCATCCTAACTGTTTATTTATTAGATTTTAGTGCTAATGAAGTGCTCCATCTATAATCCTCTGTTAAAGCAAAGCTTCTATCAAAATTCAGATATTAATATTTTAAATTCCATTTTTGAGGCACTATAGTTAGCAGATTAGTTAGCAAAGATACCCTCCAGCTTTAACTATGTTTAACAAGCAGATGTGCTTCTCAGAGATGGATTCCTTCTCTCCTGGGGTACATAACGGTTAAAAAACAAAGTCAAAACCATTTATAAAATTGTAAGGAAGTGTACCATGTTGTAACAGCAAGCATTTTCTTTCTCCAAAAGGTACAACTGTGCTTTTTTTCTGAGCATTTAGCAGAGATCAATAAAAATATGATGTGATATTGTATTTGTGGAGTTGTTTATTCCCATTTTCGATGGTTCGTCATTCATTTGATGGGATTATTTTTGATCTAACTAAAAGTCTTTTTGCTTTATAGTGGAAATGAAATCACCTACTGTAAAAGTTATGTACAGTATGTTGACTGTAAATAATTGTTTCAAATTCAAGTTTCAAGTGGCACTTTTTGACTTTGGGAAACGACGTGCTTATATAACTTACGAAATATCGTGGGTCTGTGCTCACCAAGTGCCAATGATGTCGAATTTGAATTGAATGGCAATTTTAAAATTGAATCTAAACTCTAAATAGAACATAAAACATCTTAAATGTAAATGCTCAAACCAGCCTGTTAGATTGAGGTACTTCTTCTTTAACTTAAGTAAATGATTACTTTTTTTCTCTTTATTTACAGTTCACAATTGTACAATATCTTGTAAAGAAGTTATTTTGCATTCTTTCCAACCATACAAACATATAAAACATAACAGCAAGGCTCTATTTTTTATAAATAAACTTAAAATTGTAAGGTATAAAATAATATTAAGTAGTAAGGATACAAAATATACTAAAATAAAATATTTAAGAAATTATATAAGGCACATTATTTTCATTGTTTCAACAGTCATTGTTTAGGTCATCTTACGGATCCTTCTGTACCACCATATGTTTACTGTCATATTTTGTAGTTTTGAGCCTCTTATAAGTTTAAGCTGAATGTAGTCATCAGCCGACTTAATTGCAATGACTCCATAGCTGTGTTGGAATCCATGTCGTTCCAAATCTTTTGCCAAAATCTTCCTTTGTTTACTACAAATAAGTTACATTTGCTTTGATAACTGCAGTCATCAGTCCAAACCCATAATAGAAGTAATCCAGGGGATACCTGTCTATTCCAAGTTAAAACAATAGATATTGCAACATAGTGCGACATACAATTTTTGTATTGGCTGGTGTGTATCTGCCAATAATTGTAGAGAAGAAAAATAAAACAACGAGGGTTTCTGCTTTTTCCCCATTTGCATACATGAATGATGTTTTCCCATCATTATGTTTAAGTATTTCTGCTTTACACTAATAACATGGTTCTATGTTACATCCATGGGTGTTGTTTTTTTTTCTGCCACAGGGGGCGGTAAAGACATTCAAATTGAATTGTTTTGCGCATGCGTCATGCCCAAAAAAAACCCAACATGTCACTTCCTGGCCCAACACAGGTGATTAGAAAACGTTTGGAAACTGAAACTGATGAAAGCCGTGACGACTTTGATGAGATGGCTTGAAAAGAGTTACATGCACTCCATTTAAGAGGTGAGCAGATTTATTAACTTGTGCCCAGTACAATTATTACATAAGAGTCACAAGAGGACGTTTATGAGTGACCGGCTGGTTAGCCACGTTACATTTACGTTAGCCTCCCTCCATTCATTGACGTGCTGTCAGTTCTGTTTAACTTGGTAAACAGCGGAGAGCTAGCAAGTTGTCTTACCAGACTATACATCGTATTTCAGTCAGAAGTTAGCTAATTACATCGCATGGAATCTGTAACATCAGTGGTCATCAGATTACTAAATTACTTTCCATCGGCATTGGTAACTTAACTTACATTGGTTGAACGAGTTAACTAACCAGAGTGGCTGTTTGTAGCTAAAGTTTTACTAGCATGAAAACAACTGCTTTTAGCTGACTAACGGTGGCTGCCTTTAGTTGAGCAGTCCACACACTTGGTGACTGTTTATCTCAACAGGAGGTGAAGGATGAGAATTGGTCCTGCTGATGTTAAAATGAAGCTGTTAGAAAAATGTGACGCTGTTACTTGTCCAATATGTGGATAAAATTCCCCCATACATAGATGTTCGCACACTGTCAGCTTACAGCGAAACTTAACATATTTTATAGATATTAATAGATAGCTATACCGTCTGTCTGTGTATGTAGCCACAGACTACATCAGATGTATTATGTATCTTGATGTCTTGTTTGTGAACAGTATCTGCACAGCATAAGTTTGTATTGTCTGTATTGTTCGAAGTTTTTGGGATTGAAGCATTTCAGTATAAGCAAAAGATAGTAAAGTAGCAAATGATAATAAAGGATCTAATGTGACTTTGGCAGTTTTATAGTATAGTCCTTGGATGTATAGCATACTCCATGAATATTCAATTGAGAAACTTGGCAGTGTTTTTTTTTTTGTGTGTGTGGCTAATCTAGTGAACAAAATACCTGAAAAATCTTACATTAAAACAACAACCCTGTACATTTAATATTGCCATAAAGCAATGCTGCTTATTGATTTGCACATAATGATCAAAATTAGAGAAGTTAAAGCAAGAGATTGACACATAATCTCACTGTAGTAGTAGTCTTGATTTCTTTGTGTTGTTACAATTGTTTAGAAAAAGAAATAGAGAGGGAGAAGCTATGGCATGCGCCCAAGTGCCACTGGATGAGCAGCAGGTGACCGAGCTTGGCCCCCAGGGAAAAGAGCACACACTGCCTGCACTGGTGAGTCATATCACCTTGTTTTGTACAGAAATACACTCCAACAGCAGTCTGTGGTGTACTTGGAATAATAACCTTCCACACAGACCAGTTCATCAGAATCATACCTTGTGCTTTTATTTTCACACCAGCACCCAATCAGGAAGGAAGATCGCTGTTTTGTGCCTTACAAGCCCCCGCCAGAAGACGGCTCTCCCACTGAGGTGGAGGAGTTTTTGGAACATGCCAGATTCATCACAGAGGACCTGGAGTGGCTGCTTGCTCTGCCCCATGACAAGTTCTGGTGTCAGGTAAGGTACTGGTAACATGTGAACATCTCGCTGAGCCGCTTTTCCTTTTCTGTTCACTTAGCCACAAAATTAATGTAAATAAATGTAATTACACTAGATTCAGTGATGGCAGCTTTCCTTCTTGTATTCATCTCCTCTCCTGTCTCTTCCACCAGGTGGTGTTTGATGAGTCTCTGCAGAGGTGCCTAGATTCATACCTGCATCACGCTCCTCGCGGGCTCGACCTCGCCACCCTGCCCGCCTCCCCGGCGGTGGCCGACATGCAGCGCTCTGTCCACAGGGCGGTCTTCTTGACCTTCCTCAGGATGGCCACATATAAAGAGTCCAAGGTAGGAGCAGCTCCAAATATGAACTCCAGAGAGGGAATAATGACCTACTAATCTCTAGAAATACTAGTGTTGTGTTTGTGCTCCTCTGTCACAGGAGAACTTCCTCAACCCGGCTGTGTTTGGAGAGATTATCTATAATAACTTTCTGTTTGACATTCCCAAAATTCTGGATCTATGTGTGCTCTTTGGAAAGGGCAACAGCCAGCTGCTGCATAAGATGATAGGTGAGCTGTTTGTTAAGGTTAAATTTAAATCATCAAACGGTATTTTTATCAAGAATGTGTATGTTAGGTTTTTTCCTTTGTTTATCACTCTTTGTTAACTTTCATAATGATGTCCTTTTTTTTTTTTTAGAGAACATCTTTACCCAGCAGCCGTCTTACTACAGTGACCTGGATGAGACGGTGCCCACTGTGTTACAGGTAATTAATAAATGAGTGTAAGGTTGTGTCTGGGTTCAATAAAAGTGAATTGAAGATGCCTCAGTCAAAAAAAATGCTATTTAGAGTAAGTTGTAAATGTCTTTCTGTGGGATTATAGATTATTTTCCTCCTCTCTCTCCGTCACCTTCAGGTGTTTGACACCATCCTGGATAAATGTGGCCTGCAGTGTGAAGGAGCCACAGCCATGGAGCCGATGAAGCTGAACGCACACAAACCCACTGCCATGACCATGAACCAGCAGGTCAGACAAACACACACATCTCTGTTCATCTCTGCATGTGATACTGGTGAACTAATAAAACTATTTATGATGTATGTTGGCACGAGCCCGTTCTCAGATATAAATATCATACAGATTTTAAAAGGCGGTTCTGACGTGATAACATCTTAATTATTGATAAATCAAATTGTTTTTAAAATGTGGAGGATGATTTTCTACTATAAGCCCCAATGAATAAATCCCGCTTTCCTTAGAAACTAGACTGATCAGCCTGATTAGGAAAACTGTTTCTTTAAATGGAGGAATTGAAAACTTGTCAGCAAGACAACACGGCACTGAGCAGTATTTACTGTTACATAGAAGACAGTGATAATAGTTCAGCCCAGCAATGGACATAATTACAGAGGAGTCTACAGCGTTTCTCCTGCTGGAACACTTTGATGACTGACGGATGTTGGTGTGGTGGCTAAAGTAAGTAACGTGTCTGCGTGTGCGTGCGCGCATGTGCAATGGCTGCGGACACACAACACATACAGCAGCAGAACAATGTGTAGGTAACACTGTCCTCAATGGGTCTGACAGGTAACACCTGCACATGGCTTAAAAATTATGAGTGATTGAACCCAGGCCAACGGGTTGATGCTGATGCTGCAAAGTAAAAGTTCCTCAAGGTTCAATATGAGTCCCTTGTTGTTTACTGTCTACATAAATGATATCTGTAACACTGTTAGGAACTGTAAATATCATTTTTATGCAGACGACACAGTCATTTATGCTACTGCCCCATCCTATGCTCAAGCACTTGCTCTTCTTCAGTCAGACTTTTTTTAATTCTACAAAAAATCTCTTATTGATCCGAAGCTGGTACTGAATTTAAGTAAAACTAAATATATACTCTTTTTCTTCCACGTCCAGAAAACAAGACTTGGATGAGCTTAAAATTAGGACACTGGATGTACTGTTACAGAACAATTTCTAGCATACAAATTCCTTGGTATTTGGCTGGATGAACATCTTACTTTTAAAACACATCTTACTGTTTTGGTGAGGAAGCTAAGAGTGAAGATTGGTTTATTCTACAGAAATAAATCATGTCTGTCTTATCAGCATAGAATTGACATTGTAGAAGCTACTTTCATGTCAGTACTTGACTATGGCGATGTACTGTATATGTATGCTCCAGCTGCAGAGCTTGATGCAGTTTATCATGCTGCCTTGCGCTTTATTATGGGTGCCAATTTCAGCACACACCATTGTGTACTGTACTTGCTTCTTCGCCAGTAGAACTAGGCACTGGTTATTATTCGGCTATAACGCATAAACTTTCCCGCTATCTGACCGCTAAAATAAATTGGAAAGTCAGTGGTTATCAGATACGGTCAAAAGATTGGTTAGTCTTGGCAAATTCCTCAAGCCCATTCATGTAATTGTTGCCTGTAAATTGTCTGTGGTTTTTAAAAAAAGTATATTATATATATTTATATCTGTTATGAATATTTGTGTCTGTCTGTTTGCTGTACACAAGGCTCAGCAGTTAAAGAGACCCTGGTCTCAGCCTGATTCTCTGTATAAATAAAAGTGAAAAAAAGACAAAAAAACCCCTAAGAGCTTCAGTTCACAATCTATAAGCAAGTTACACAGACAAACCATCCCCATTCTCCCCACATCATGCATTCGCTATAAAGCGGTTTTCTTCAATCAAATTTCCCTCAGCGCTCTCAGACAGGCTGAAAAATCTCCAGAGCACTGTTACAGCCTTCCCCCCATGTTGTCATTCAAAGCAGAGTAATCCAACACGGTTTTAATGAAACAAAAATATAAAGCAGTAATACTAACCGTCTGGATTTGTAACGTGGTTTATTATTTAGCTGGTAACCATTTCAGACACTGATATATTCAAATGAATTGAAATAAATGTTGTTTGTAGGTGTTGCTGTGTTGATTGGTTTCTCTGTTTTTTTTAAAATGCAGTCAGCATTGTCTAACTTCCACAATACTGCTTCATGTCATTGATAATTTGTTTTTCTTTTCTGTCCTAGGATCTTGTAGATCTTATTCTGTACCTGTGTGACTCCACCACCACCATCCATGCCTTCCTGGACATCTTCCCCGCCGCCTGCTCCAGCTTCCACTCCCATGGTTTCCTTAGCAGGTAGACAGGCAAAGTAAACTGGCAGTATCGCCGCTCATAGTGAGCCACACCTTCGCAAAAGCTTTTCACTAGGGCTGACCAATTTTGGAAAATAATCTAATGACGATTATTTATTTATTTTTATCAATATTGCGATTTAATACGCAATTAATTTTTAAGCTCTTTACCTTCTGTATTCAAAATGGACAAGCAGTAAATCAGTGTATAGTATGACCAACACAGTATTAGCTAGATAGAACTACACTGTTCTTTCTTGTGGGTCAGGCCTGTGTTATGATGAATTAGGTAGAATTATTATTATGAGCCATGGTGGAGAAGATAGGCTATATCAAATTATAAGAGTCAAGTCATGGCATTAAATAATGATATAATATCATCAGGTCGGCCTACCTACAGACCACAAGAAAAACTAAGTTCAGTTTGGTTTGAAACACCGTTTCACAGATATTTCCTGAGCTGACTGGTGGCTGTGTGTGTGACGCAGGCGCCGATCGCCACAACACGCTTACCTTACTGTACGTGTCTTTCTGTTGTGCATTTTTCCTGTCCATCAAAGCCGCGGATGACCCGACGATTTCACCCACCACCAAGTTACCCGCGGTTGGCGGGTGTTACTTTCATTCCCAGTGTGACACTAAAGTTTATGTAGTGTCAGCTTCTGTCAAGCTTAAGGCCAGCGTACAACAAGAGGGCAAGGTACAGTGGGTACGGAAAGTATTCAGACCTCTTTAAATTTTTCACTCTTTGTTTCATTGCAGCCATTTTCCAAAAATCAAAAAAGTTCATTTTATTTCTCAGTAATGTACACTCAGCACCCCATCTTGACAGAAAAAAACAGAAATGTAGAAATTGTTGCAAATTTATTAAAAAAGAAAAACTGAAATATCACATGGTCATAAGTATTCAGACCCTTTGCCGTGACACTCATATTTAACTCAGGTGCTGTCTATTTCTTCTGATCATCCTTGAGATGGTTCTACACCTTCATTTGAGTCCAGCTGTGTTTGATTATACTGATTGGACTTGATTAGGAAAGCCACACACCTGTCTATATAAGACCTTACAGCTCACAGTGCATGTCAGAGCAAATGAGAATCATGAGGTCAAAGGAACTGCCTGAAGAGCTCAGAGACAGAATTGTTGCAAGGCACAGATCTGGCCAAGGTTACAAAAAATTTCTGCTGCACTTAAGGTTCCTAAGAGCACAGTGGCCTCCATAATCCTCAAATGGAAGACGTTTGGGACGACCAGAACCCTTCCTAGAGCTGGCCGTCCGGCCAAACTGAGCTATCTGGGGAGAAGAGCCTTGGTGAGAGAGGTAAAGAAGAACCCAAAGGTCACTGTGGCTGAGCTCCAGAGATGCAGTCGGGAGATGGGAGAAAGTTGTAGTAAGTCAACCATCACTGCAGCAATCCACCAGTCGGGGCTTTATGGCAGAGTGGCCCGACGGAAGCCTCTCCTCAGTGCAAGACACATGAAAGCCCGCATGGAGTTTGTTAAAAAACACCTGAAGGACTCCAAGATGGTGATAAATAAGATCCTCTGGTCTGATGAGACCAAGATAGAACTTTTTGGCCTTAATTCTAAGCGGTATGTGTGGAGAAAACCAGGCACTGCTCATCACCTGTCCAATACAGTCTCAACAGTGAAGCATGGTGGTGGCAGCATCATGCTGTGGGGGTGTTTTTCAGCTGCAGGGACAGGACGACTGGTTGCAATCGAGGGAAAGATGAATGAGGCCAAGTACAGGGATATCCTGGACGAAAACCTTTTCCAGAGTGCTCTGGACCTCAGACTGGGCCGAAGGTTTACCTTCCAACAAGACAATGACCCTAAGCACACCGCTAAAATAATGAAGGAGTGGCTTCACAACAACTCCGTGGCTGTTCTTGAATGGCCCAGCCAGAGCCCTGACTTAAACCCAATTGAGCATCTCTGGAGAGACCTGAAAATGGCTGTCCACCAACGTTTACCATCCAACCTGACAGAACTGGAGAGGATCTGCAAGGAGGAATGGCAGAGGATACCCAAATCCAGATGTGAAAAACTTGTTGCATCTTTCCCAAAACGACTCATGGCTGTATTAGATCAAAAGGGTGCTTCTACTAAATACTGAGCAAAGAGTCTGAATACTTATGACCATGTGATATTTCAGTGTTTCTTTTTTAATAAATTTGCAACAATTTCTACATTTCTGTTTTTTTCTGTCAAGATGGGGTGCTGAGTGTACATTACTGAGAAATAAAATGAACTTTTTTTTGATTTTTGGAAAATGGCTGCAATGAAACAAAGAGTGAAAAATTTAAAGGGGTCTGAATACTTTCCGTACCCACTGTACAGCGTAACGTGCATCAACTTCGTCTGCAGACTGCTTTTCTCTTGGGTGTCATGTGACCAGAGTGTAATCGCAGCCTTTGCGATTTAGAAAATCTGATGATAATGTGATAATATCGCAAATGCTATTAATCTTTCAGCCCTACTTCTCACCATCATTTTGTTTTCTCTCCCGGCAGACTGACCTCGTTTTATGAGACCACTGTGCCTGACCTTGAAAAGGCGGTTAGGAAGAGGAACTTTGATGATAAAGGGTGAGTTTCTGCTACTTACTTGTGTACCAAACTTTCAATTATAAATGATTGTAAATAATCTCCCAAACCCTCCTTCCTTTAGTCTTCAGGAGGACTTGTGGAAGAGGTTGTCCCACTCCTGTCGTAAGATGGTGGAGACGGCTCACCTGCTGCTTCATCACACCTGCCTACAGCCAATCCTGGAGGGGTGAGATGTCCAAACTCTCAGCGTGCATCTTTGCAGAATTAGCATTACTCATACACATGCTAATTCTGCTGATGTTTGTTGCTTTGCAGGGGAGAAAACATGTTAACATTTGCAGAGGAGCTCCTGCAACATTTCACATCTTTTCTAACTGAGAAAAGGTAAAATTACCAGTTAAGATCAGGGGTCGCCTCCAAGGCTCCGAGGAGGTTATTAGTTGGTCCCCATTAAATCTCAGAAGTGGTTGGTGTAATTTTAAAGGGCAGTGACAAAGTGAATGAAGGGGTTCGGTCTTTTTGTTTCTTTGTCCTTGCAGGTTCTTGTCAGACTATGATGAGCAGTTCCCCATCGCAGACGACGTCAGCCTCCTGCAACAGGCCCTCCCTGTCATGTATCCTTACCAGCTTTACAGCAATAAAATTGTATAAACAGACTTTCAGACGGGAGCCTTCGCCTTCAGTAAATGATCGGAGCCAGCCTATGTACTTACTTCGTTCGTGACTGACACATCACTACTTCAGCCCACATAGGGCTCGCTCTCCCCAGCAAGAGCCTCGCCAAGACCCCCCACCTCCCTTTCGCTGTGACTCGTCTTCTCAAAGTCGCCAGTCTAGTGCTTTGCGGCCTGGGGCAGAATGCCCTAGGCATCAGAGGCAGATGGTACAACGTCTAACAGCAGGATGAGAGGCTAGTACACCACTGTCCTCCCTCCAGAAGTTATTCTCCATTGTTTCTCATCATGCCTTCTTTGCCACTCACCGATACGATTGAAAGCGCTCTTTGCTCTGATTTGTAGTTTTCTTCAGGAAGTGGTGGATTCTTGAAAATGGCATTATGAGCAGCAGGATGGGACAGAGCAATCAGATTTTTTTCATGGACTACTTTCAGGATGTAGTGACATTTTTAGCAAATATGAGAAAAGGTTGTTTTTAAAAGATTTCCTTACTGCAGATTTAATAGATTAATCCAGAAAATAATAGGCAGATTAATCCATAACGATAGTACGCTTAGCGTTTGTTGCAGCCCTAATCAAGTCAGAATGGTCTCAAAGCCAGACTTGAATTAGTAGCAGACAGTAATGCCTATACTCTTTAGTTGTATCATTTCCTTAACCGCCTGCTTCCCTCAGAGATGAGACCCGGACGTCCTACCTGCTCGAGGGAGTGAGAAGTGCCTGGGATAGTGTGGGGCGACGGAAACCACAGAGCCAGATTCAGAACAAAGTCCCCTCTGCGATGCCAGCCTATCAGGGAGCAGCAGGCGGTGCCGCTGCCGCCGCCTCTTCGGGTGACTTTAAACTTAAGGAGGGCCGAGAGCCAGAGAGAGCAGAGGACCTGATGGGAGCAAAGGCCATGTTGGATGTTCCTCGAAAAGGAAACAATGTGAGTTCTGTCTTTTTTACAGGTAATTTAATGAGAGCTCAGTGTCCTGTATTCCTTATCACTGGTTACCAGTTACAAATAATGTCATTTGTTTGTTTATAAGGTCAAATGCAGGGCAGCAACTAACTCTTATTTTATTTATCAATAATGATTATTTTAATTACAAGAAATCTAAATACCTAACAGATTAGTTTTAGCTGCTGGAAACTGAGTACAGCGAGTAGAGAAATTTGACTAAAGGAATTAAACAAATGGGACTACATTTAGAACTGGTACATAGGGTCAGGCAAGTTTGTTTGTGTAGGATTTTTCAAATGCTAAGGAAAAGGTGCTTAATCTGAGTTTTGCAAAGCATAAAATACATAAATAAATAAAGGTGTAAGAATACAAGTAATGGTGCATTACAGTGCAGAAAGAAAATTACATAAATTAGCCGAATGATAAAAGTGTGGTTTTCAAAGTAGCTGCAAATTTGGGGTGGGGGGGTTGGAGAGACAACCCAATCCGACTTTGTTACTGTACTTTATTATTTTGGGTGTTGTGTGTCATCAGGGTGCAGTGTGTACAGTGAGCGAGGCCGAGCTTGAGTCTCTGCTGTCGTGTATCAAGGACCTGCTGCCGGATTTGGGCGAAGGCTTCGTGCTGGCCTGCCTGGAGGAGTACAACTACAACTCTGAGCTGGTCATCAACAACATCCTGGAGGATCGCTTGGCCCCCAACCTGGACAAACTGGACCGAGCCATGCCAAGGTAAACACCATCATTCACTGGGAAGGCCTCTACATACAATTCTGCCATTTATATTCTGGATCGTGCTGCACCAAGAGTCCAAAGCTCAAAAATATTTTACATTAATATAAGATTGAGATGATCTCCTTTTAGAAGCTAAAATCTGTGAATCTTGCTAACTTAGTAATTAAACTGATAATCAAAAGTGTCACTGTTTACTGTACGAATCCAAAATGTGTTGTGCAGATCATTTGGGGTAAATGGAGTGGGCAATAAGTTAAGGGTGAATGAAAAATGAATCTTGTCATGATACTGCTGTGTTTGATTCGTCTTCTGTCCTTTCAGGCCAGTGAAGGAGGAGCTTCCAGATGTTCTGAGCATCAGATCCAACGTCTTTGATGATGATGAGTTCGACATCTTCCGCAGGGACCAGGTGGACATGTCCCGTATCTGGAAGGGCAGGAGGTAAGAACACACAGGAGACGCTCGCTAATCCAAAAATTAAAAACCCGGGGCGCAGGTTAGCTCAATAATAATTTAAAAACCCCATGACTCCTTTTTATGCACTCACAGTTGCAAAATTTGAATAATAATGTAAACCACCAATATACTGGTGACAAAACCGAGTCTCTTACATGATTCATGTGCGTATAAAATCACTCAACTGTTTAATCAAAGCTAAGGACTTCCACATGTAACTACCTCTTTTTTTGAAAATCTGCCCTTTAAAACCCTTTGACTGCCAGCCTGTACAACTGTACATATACAGTTGTGGTCAGAAGTTTACATGCACTTGTAAAGAGCGTGCTTTTGGTAGCCATCCACAAGCTTCTGGCTGAATCTTTGACCATTCCTCATGACATATTTGGTACAGTTCAGCTAAATTTGTTGGTTTTCTGACACAACTTGTTTCTTCAGCACAGTCCACATGTGGGGTTTAAGGGGTCAGGATTTGGGGAAGGCCCTTCTGAAACCTGAAGTCTAACCGGGTTTAGCCTTTCGTTTACCACTTTTGATACATGGTTGGGGTCAAAGTCCCGTTAAAACATCCACCTGTGTCCAATACCAAACCTTCTGCCTGATTTAAGATTTTCCTGAAGAATTTGGAGGTAATCCTCCCCCTTGATTATTCAATTGACTTTCTGTAAAGCACCAGTTTCACCAGCAGCGAAACAGGCCCAGAGCATAATACTGCCACCACCATGCTTAACAGTAGGTATGGTGTTTGTAGAGTTAAAGGCCCCACTTCCTCTCCTCCAAACAGATTTCTGGTCATTGTGGCCAAATAGCTAAATTTTTTGTTTCATTTGACCACAGAGCTTTCCTCCAGAAGGCCTTTTCTTTGTCCATGCTTCCTTCTTGCACGGCAGCCCATGGCAATGTAAAAGACGATTAACTGTGGACACTGACATCTGTGTTCCAGCAGCTTCTAATTCATCGCAGACCTGCATTTTGGTGGTTCTTGGCTGACCCCTGACCATCCTGACCAGTTTTCTCTCAGCAGCAGTTGATAGCTTGTGTTTCTGCGCCGTACACTTTATACTAACAAACAGGTGTTTGCGCTGTGGATCTTAGGACTTGTAGCTGCTTTGAAATGGCTCTAAGTGACTTTCCTGACTTGTTCAAGTCAATGATCCGCTTTTTCAGATCCGTGTGGAGCTCGTTAGACTTTCCCATTGTTGCGTCTGTGGCTGAGTATAAAGAGTATATCAAACATGCCCGATTTAAGCGGGCTCAGAGAAGTCACCAGCTGTAGTCAATCATAATCACTCACAAGAAGTTAAGAGGGAATGTCACGTAGCAAACAACTTCATCACCAAAATGTATCATGTATATTCTTGACCTCAGTAGATTTGGTCACATTTTCAGGAGACTCATAATAAATTCATAAATTAACCAAAATTCATCACAAAGAGGTATAAAATTAGCTTTGTAGTAATTATTGGAAAGTCAAACTGCCATGACATACACGTCCTTTACAAGTGTATGTAAACACAGCTGTACATGTATTTAAAGAAAGTGAAGACCAGGTGAGACTGTCAGAGGTCAAGTGTAACCTTGTGGTGTCTTCTTACTTTTGCAGGAAAGGGGAGAGCGCTCGAGAGATGCTGAACGACAAGCAGCACATAGCGGAGCAGAAAGCTCGTTACCAGGCCTACGAGACGGTGGTGGACGAGGTCATCATTGAACCTGGCGAAAGTGCAGCCACCTTCGGCCTGGATGACGACTACGATGACGAATACGATGACACCTACGACATGAACCAAGTGGGAGCTAATGACCTGGACGGAGACAGTTTACTGAACAGAAGGTAAATTGGTAAAAATTTTTGTGTCTGTCTCTTAGATTGTGACAGGATGGAGTCTAAATTTGGAATATGTTGTTCTTGTGGTGGACGCTAATTGCATTCATTGTATGTTTTCCATTTTCACTTTTTTTTTGTTTTTCTGCAGGCCTTTCACTGTCCCGCAGATACTGAGAAAAGGAAACAAACCAGAGGATGAGGAGGAGGGTGAAGATGACGAGGAGGAAGAGACTTTACCGGTACTGAAACATTTAGAAATGAAACAGCAGATCCAACATTACAGGAGAAAAATATATTCCTTTTGCCCTATTCCATTGATAAAGCTCAATGATGAGGCTTTACTGGAAAATATGACGGTCAATTTTGTTTTACCAGCAGTTGCAGGTACTGCTCCTGCAGGATTATTTTTGCATATATCCTAAATTAGGACTATTTGGAGTACACTGGTGTGATGTGTTAGACAGGAAGTGATGTGTTTTATACATAACTTTCAACTAGCCTTGGTGTAAATGGGTATTATTGTCTTTACACTTGTTAAAGCACTTTGTAACTTGTTTTTGAAAAGTGCTCTACAAATAAAGTTATTATTATAATGCCAACTTAAAGGCAATTATGTTAATAATGATGAATATAAAATAATCACTGACAACTTAATTACATTTATAAGATCTAAAAGCACCAGTTTAACACACACTTCATCTGACGTAAGGGATTACCATTGCAAAGTTTGGCCTTTTTTTTTTAAGCTACAGTTTCTGTGTCTGCACGTTTTATTTTCTTTCATGTGAATCCATTTTCTTTCAGAACAATGTAAACAGGGACCAGTTTGTGCAGGATCCGGCTCTGCTGAGGGAGCGGGCTGAAGCTAGAAGAGCTGCCATGCAGCAAAGGAAAGGGTAAAGTCAATATTCAGAAAACTCTCACAAGAAGTTTCTTCGTGAAAACGAAACAATTCTAGACTTGACCATTTATAGATGGAGGGCGCTGTCTATTCAGATTGTAAAACACAGACAAATGTATGATTTGGGCTGGGACAAATTTATTATTTAAATAAAACTGACTATCAAATGATAAAAGCTACATTGAAATGAATTGACAAAAGTAGATCTGTCCAGTATACGGTAACCAGGAAAACCAATGTAAATTTTAACAATGTCTCAAGGTGTATATTTAAATTCTGAAACAGCACTGGTTAGAGGTTCACCTGGTGGGTCCATCAACACCTCTGTTGACTTCCCTTCATCCTTCTCTTCCAGTTTCCGACCGGAGCGTTCCAGTAATGTGGTGGGCCAACCCAAAGGCCAAGGACAAAACCAGGAGACATTACTGGACCGACGCAAAAAGGAGGCCAACAAGAGCCGCGTGTCAAATCACAACCGCCGCACAATGGCCGACCGCAAGAGGAACAAAGGCATGATCCCCTCTTGATCTGTGTGACAGCCTGCTGCTCGAACCAAATCGACTGTTGGTAAGAGGACGGCAGGAAGGTGGCTGAGGTGCGAGTCAGTAAAGGGAAAGAGAAACGGGACTGTCGTTCTGGGTTAAAGGTTGTGAATTTGGTGCCCGCATTTGTCCCCACGATAACACCTTGGCCCCGAGGTGACCGTCTGTCCTCGAAGGAGAAGCCAGAGAAGATTTTCAGTTGTAGGGGAAAAGTTGCATAGTTTACAGAGTTTCTTTGGCATGGCCACATTTTGGCCTTTCGTGATCAGAAGTTGCCAAGCAGCTTGTTAAAATAAAACCTCTGCTTTTAGTGTTTGAGCCTAAAGGGCGATCAGCTCTTTGGCCCAAAATAATTTATAGCTCATTAAAAAATCTCAAGTACGGAGGGTGAGCCACAGACTGAGGACAAAGAATAAGACCTTTAATTTGCCAAGTAACAAATCTGTTTATTATTAAGATCCAGAGTGATCGATCTTTGACATCATCATCGTCAAATGGACAACATAGGAATAAAAGGAAGCGAGTGTTTTGGCATTAGCTGGAAGAACAATTGCTGACCTGATGATCAAGTCTGGATCAGCGGCAGGCTGTGTTGCTCTTGCTACTCATCCTGTATGAGTAGCTTGTGTGAAAGCTGCTTGCACATAATGTTCAAGTGTATGCATGTGATGTCATCCACCCAGTTCACACCACTGTTGTCCAGCCTTCATAAAAAAAAAAAAACATTTAAAAAAACAAAATCAACTCTGTGACCATCTCATAATGATGCTGATGTGTTTGGAAGCACGTGCTGCACAGAGGGCCGTCGAGTCTCTCAGACTAGCTGTGGGGAAACCTCCTACATGTTGCCGTGCACACGCTATTTTCTATGAAGAGAGCAGATCTATCAGAGCATTTTGTAACAAAGAAAAAGCAGGTGTAATTGCTTTTCAGAGGTGACATTTTAAAAAACTAAATAAATACAAGAACACTGTTTCTGACATCCTTCGAGTTTGAGTCATCGCTGACAAAATGCCAAAATCAATTACGCTAGATTTGACTTTTTCCTTTCACAGTAGTATTTGTTGGAGATGATTCAGGGTACCGCTGCACAGTTGAAGTGGAAATTACACATCCAGCAGCCAATTAGCGTAGCTTAGCACAAAGACTGAAAGCAGGTGGAAACAGCCAGCCTGGCTCTATCCAAAGGTAACAAAGTCGGCCTACCAGGGGTGCTGGTAGGTGAACTATTGCTTTAGCTCTAAGGCAGTGACAGCTGTGTTAAGTACAAAATTGTAATTGCAAATGATAAGATTTACATGTGCAACTGGAGGAGGACACACCATGTTTTTCGCATGATGTTTGAGATGAGCCTACCTACATGTTTAACATTGTTTAAAATGGTGCAAACTAAATTAGTACTGCTACTGTAACACAACTCAAGTATAAATCAGGAGGTGTGATTATGGTTTGGGTTTCTTTCACTCTGCAGTTTAGTCAGAAGGCATGTTAAGGACAAGTGCAAACACTTATTCCACATCTGCAGCACAGTTACTTCTGGACTACAACTACAGAACCTCTAGGACTAACATCTAACAGTGAAGTACGAGTACAGACACTAGCTGAAATCAGTCATGTTTAACCTCTGTTACTCCACATCATTGGGACCTAAAGTGAACATTGACACTGGTCAGTCAATCAATATGTCCATGCTTAAAACCATAAAGCATTGAATGTCACGCAGAAACAACTGAACCGCGAATACTCGCTCAGGTTATCAGTGTTTACTGATGAAAAGCCAAATGTATTGTTGCTCAGCACAAACAGAGCAGATGTTGTTTGTGTGGAGAGTTGCATTGACCACAAACAACCTCCCAAGTCGCAGTCAAATTGTACAGTAACATGATCCCAGGAAGAAGTACTGTTCACACACAACAGTACTGGTACAATACTTCATAGTATTGTGTTTATACTACCACCATATGTCCTGCTGAAAACACCCCGAATGTCAGACGTCAAATCTGACTGCTTCACAGTCCAGATGGCCGGCCAGCTGCTGTGAGAAGCTTATATCTTATCCCACAGTCTGCTGGAAGGAGGAGGCATGAGGTAAGTTTAAAAAAAACAACAAACAAAAAAAGGGCTACTGGAGCGTCACAGAGGAAAAGACGAGACTTGATTCCCAGAGGCTGTGGTGACCTTTAACTGTCTTTGAAGACGCTGCCTGAAGAGGGTTAGAAAAGAGAACATCAATTAATAGATTAGTGGGTCAACAGAAATTTATCAGGAGCAATTTTAATAATGGTATACATATACATGAAAGCAAGAGGCAAACAGGAAACGAGGAAAGAGTATGATTTATCATTTTAATTTATTTTCTATAAACGTGCTGTCCTTTAAACTGTTCTAAAAGTATCTGACATTTTATGGAAATATTCATTAATCGAGAAATAATCAAAAGATTAATGAATGAAAACAACTGTTAGTTGCAATCCTATTTTGATTTCAAGACATTTACCTGACTAAATAAAAATGAAAATGCTAGACTCAGGCTTTGATCGGCACATACTTAGTAAACAGAGTGTCTACTGCAGGTAGTTTTACGATTGATAGTAAAAAAAAAAAAAAAAAAAAGAGTTCAGGGTCATTAAAACGATATTAAAAACTTCATGTAAAGTTTTACATTCTCAAGCAATGATGTTACTGCTTAGTTACTTGGGCAACAGTTTCTATGATAACTATTTGCATGAAAATTAGATAACTTAAAGTTACTTAATGTGGTATAAACCATAGTTGTCGCCCCAAGCAGCTAGGGGTTCAGGGCCTTGCCCAAGGGCACCTTCGGCAGTGACCAGGAGGTGAAATGGCCTCTCCATCTACCAGTACACGCTCTATGTGACTGGTCCGTGCTGAACACGAACTGACGAGTCGAGCCGAGGTGTGGTCAGGGTTGAAAAAGGCTTTAGACACTGCTTTTCAGCCTGGTGTTAATTAACTCTCAAACATCATCATGAACAGTGCTGGGTATCCGCATGATCTGTGACGTGAACTCACTGAGGATGCTGCGTTTGCACAGCGGACAGGTGTGCTGCAGCAGCAGCCAGGGGTCGACACAATCTCTGTGGTACTCATGAAGACACGGCAGCACCCGCAGACACTGGGACAACAGCAACACAATGCACCACCAGTTTATATCATTTCACTGCAGAATCACCTGACCTGCACATAGTCTATATGCCTCTAACTTTCCTTTAAATCTTAAAATAAGACTAAAGGTAGAGAAACCAACTGGCAGAATATACAGGTATGAGTATTTGTCACGTGATCATTGGGGTAAGTGAATCCAACCAGGGAGACATACAGCTTTAATGTTAAATCAGGGGGTGTAGGAGTGTTGGCTGACCTGGTTGTTGTTGAAAGGCTCCAGACAGACCGCACAGTTGTCCGTCTCTAACGGCTGGGACGGGTCACACCACGGTTTGGGCTGACGATACCTTTTGATCTTCAGGGCCGACATTCTCTTCAGGACGTCCTGTTTGGGAAGGAGCTGGCGAATACAGCACAGCAGAACATCATAACATGTTAGCAGAAAGACTTCAGCTCAGGGACACCTTGACTACACAGCAATACATGATGGAGGCGATACTTACAGGACAAGTTCTCCTTACAGAAGAAATGATCTGGCTAGAACATTTTAATGAAGATGTACCAAGATTTAACCACCTGAACCCCGGTGTTCCACTTTCCTTTCAAAGACTGCAACTTATCTGCTTATTCCAACACTTCACTGAAGCACAGTTACAAACACTGAAATATTTAGTTCAACCTGAAGTACAAGTACCTTTGTTTTGCAATTGTTTGTGTTTGGCCGTCTGCACTACACGAGTTTGTAATGATCTAAAGAGTGCATACAGTGGCTCAGATCTCCATAATATTTGTCTAAGAGAAGAAAAGCATGTTGACAAACCAAGCTTCAGTAAACTGTAAATGTAACTATGTAGTGTTATGCATCTAGTAATTTCATATTTATTTCTGAAAATAACATTTTATAAAAATGTGTATATACTACTAATGATAAAACAGCAGCGAGTGCATAATGTTCTAATTAATTTTAAATTCTAATTAAATTAGCTGAAACTCTACGACCAGTATAAAAGTAGCAACACCAGAATGTA